TGCATCTGCCTGAAGCTTAAGTCTTTTAAAAATAAAAAAGACAAATAAAAAATAGGATGCAAGAAAGTTGATTATTTTTTTTTTTCCCTTTAAATAGACTGCCTGGAGAGAACAGTTATGGTGTGGGATTGTCCCACCAAGAATGACAAACCTGGTCTTCTCACGCTGTGCTGGGGACCTTTGAGATCTTGTAAATAGATGTGTAATGAAGGAGTTCTTACTGAGCTTGTATGATTCTTTCTTCTTTATTAAAAATGTTTTCAGTTGTGGAAGCTTACAGCTAACGTTAGGTCTTTATTGCTGTCACCCACAATTAAAGCTATCTTGTAATTAGGATCATTTAAAAATAACTTCTGCATGCCTGACCTGTTCTGTCTGTGACAGGATTCAGCAACTGCTGATTACTCTGTGGATGTATTTGGGGGTTTCATCTGGCTATTCTGTGGGCAGTATTAATGTGGGTGGAAAGTATTTAGAGGAGTTCATCTGTTCTAGGTAACAAGTATTGGATTTGTGCTATTGCATTAGAAAAGACTGTTACAAAGAACCTACAGGTTGGTGAGTCATTTGTTGATTGACAGAATTGCTAGAAAGAGTAGGCTTTGGGCTTTTTTGTTTTTAAAAGAATAGTTAATCATCAAGGTGAAGAGTAAGTAATTTATTTATTTTCTAGGCAATTCTGGATAGAGAGGAGAGCAAACATTAAAGAATTTTAAAATAATGTCACCATAGTGATTTGAGAGGTGTGTGAAACCCCTGTTAGGAGCCAGTCTTGCCAACAGTACTTTTCAGCTGGAGGTTGGCATAACTGGTTCCTTGATGGAGATCTGAGGTATATGAAGATCTCTGAAGAGTCAGTGCTCAAACCCGGTTTTAAATCACATAAAAGGTGACATACATAGTAACAGTGTCACACACATGCATAGTAACAGTGTCAAGTAGCCTTAAACTTTATATTATTATATGGTTATGAGTACGTCAGGTGAAAAGTTTAATGCACAATATCAAATGTTGACTTTAAGGTGTGATCAAACATGTAAGACATTTTTTTATTCCTTTAGATTAGCCTACCACAAACTTCTGTTTAATTTACTTCATTATTGATTGCTTAACAGAAGAATTTATTTATCTTATTTCTTTAGTAACTATTAGTTTTGCAACGAAACCTTCCTGCATATTTTACTGCCTTTTTGGTTACACGAGCAATGATTCATAAATAAATGTTTAACTCCACTAGAGTTAATGCAGTATTTGCACATGGATTATAATGTATTGTTTGAAAAATTAATACACAGTGGATTATAATATATTGTTTGAAAAAATTTAATACACATCTCTACTATGTGCTGTGTGTCAGTTTGAAATTGGATGCTGGAAGACCTGTTGTAGTTACTACCTCAAAATAGATAGGAATACCTCAATAGATAGGAAGCATTATTTGCATTTTCAACTCAGTATTGGAGTATGATTCTGGAATTAAAGTTCCTGTAAATCCAGTGTGCCTGTCTGTGCCTTCTCAAAGCTCACTCTGGAGAAGAACAGGGAAAAAAACCCCGAAAACAGCTCACTACCATGGTACCTGCTCCAGGGAAACTGAACCTCAGACAGTTCTCTGAAAGTCCCTCCACAGTGGTGCCAACGTCTTAAGAAAGCCCTTTATCTGCAGTTGTTCTGGAGCTTATGTTAATGGAAGGGCAGATAAACGGGCATCATATCAAACCCAGTATTGACAGTGGGTCAACAGCAGATGCTCAGACAAGAATAAATGAGAAGTGCTGCTGGACCATCACTGTATGGTTCTGTCTTTAAGTGATTTCATGGTCTGGGAGCTCCTGAGTTAGAAATTGCACCTTCAAATATGAAGTTTGTTATGGATTATTTTGTTTTTGCCCAGCTACATGAATGTTAAGCATAATTATATACTTTGTGAAGAGTATTTTGTGTTGCTTTGAAGCTGTCTTTTTACAGTTTTCCTGAATGTCTCCTGCTCTTGAAATAACCAGTTGTTGTTCCATATTTACCTTTCCTCTGTCGCTTGTGGAGATATGGAGATCTGTTCTCTCCTGCTTTCATCTGCCTTTTTCTTAACTCTGTTTAAGTGTTTCTCATAGAGAAGCTGTGCTCTATATGTCCCATGTTGCCATTTTCTGTATCTCTAGACTTGCCGTATTGGTAGATGAAAACAAACCAGAAGTGCACACAAAATTGACTTGATATAGGATGTGTGACGGAATTACTTTGTGATGAATGTTTCACTTTTGTTCTGCGTGTCTCTCTCAATAGTCTGTATCGTTCCATTCTATTTTCTTGTCAGCTCAGTGCCAAGAAGCTGTTGCTGTTATAGGCAGCTCTGTTGTAACCCAAAGTTTGTGTCTCAAAGTGCTGGTAGTCAGCTCTGTGTCTGTTGCTTATATATCTAAATCTAGGCTCCCTTATCTCTGGACCCTTTTGCCCCTCCTCTGACTTTCAGAGAGAAGTGCACATTTGCCTTGTTCAGAAGGAAGTAAGAAGAGTTGCTATGAGAGCAAGATTAGTGTTAGGAGGCATTGCTACTTTGCTGTAAGAAAGGACTGGCTGGTTAAGAACACGTGGTCTTTGCATATTTCTTCTCCCCCATCTGTCTTATTTCTTAAGTGTTAAGGAAAAGCAGTATTTGGAAATAGAATAATTGCTTAAGAATAGACCAAATGAAGTAATGGACTAAAGGAAGAACAGTATTAAACTTGGGATTTTGTATTTGTGATGTTTTCCCTCGGTAAGTGTTCACTCATTTACTTTTTTCCTTTCTAATTAGCCGTGTATTCTTCAAACAAAACTCTAGCAACTGCATGTCATTTGAGCATGTCTGGAGCGTGCAGTAAGATTCAGAGTATTGTGGCAGAGAAACTATGAAACTTTTCTCTAAATTGCACCAGAATGAATTTGCTTTGACAATACACTTTGAACTTGGCTAGCGCTTTCTGGCTTGCTGCTGCGTACGTTCTGTACTTTGTTGACACAAGCAATAAAGATTTCTAAGAGTTGTGCTTATTTTGCCCCCTTTGCTGGTAGGACACTGTCTATACCATTTCTTGCTCTCTTTTGTTAGTAGAACATGATAGTCCTTCTTGATAGTTTCTACATAAGGCTTTTCTCCTGAAAGTTCTGGAAAAGGGACGCATAGGTTTTAGGAGAAGCCCCTGTGGGGTCCTGCTTGCAACTTGGGTGTCTCTCAGCTTCAGTGGTTAGTTGGTGACTATGCTAGTGCCTTTTCTTACAAAGCATATCTCTCTGAACTTAGGTCATTTGGGAAATAATGAAGGATACTTCTCAAATAAAATACAGTATTTTTTTTTTGTCCAGTCTAATAACTTTCTTATATATGCTTGTTGAATAGCAAGCAGAATAAATGATTTCTTGCATAGCTTCCTTATTTCCTTAAAACTAAACTATGTCCACTCCCTTTCATCTCAACTGCCGTCTCGCACGAAGGAGCATAAACACCTAATTTTAAACATGACTCATTTTGATGATGGTACGAGTGTGCTAGATGATTAATTTTGAAGAGAAAATTGCCATGACATCTCCAAACCAAACTTAAATTGGTAGTAACCTGGATGCTTGGTTTAAATCTTCTAAATATACAGCTATCTATACTTGTGCATCATACCCAGTCTTGCTGTGATTGGAGGACAGGTGAGGTGAGGGATTGTTACTGCTTTGCACACGAGGAAGAAAAAAAGTTGCCTCTAGAAGAAATCTGTTAGTTATTTCCTGCTAATTAAAACAAAGCACATCAAAGAAATTGCCCCAAGTGGGTTAGCAACAGAAATCTCTTACTGATACGAGGACAGGTCATACTGTAGGTTAGTTTCAGGCTTTGGCTTATGCTTGATACACTTTTAAAATGTTTCTTTGTAATATGAAGGTCCTACTATAACAGTTTGTGGAACCATGTTGTGAAAATGTGCTGGTTGTCCGAGTCAAAGCTTAAAGTATAGCTCTGCTCTTGAAAGCTTGTTGTTAGCTGTATCAGCATGTGGGTGCAAAATCAGTAGATAACTTCTATTCTACAGATTTCTATATATTTATACTGGATGTGTGCACACATTTGTGATTAAGAAAAACAGAAGGAATTAGCGAAGATCGTGCCAGTGAGCATATTTTTCTTTCTTAGGGCAGACATGTCCTTTTAGTAAGGTATACCAAGGGTTTGCATGCTGTAAAAACCACAATAGGAATTGTGGCTAGCCACGACAAGCGTTTATCTTGTTTTTGTTTAGCAGTACATTATGTAAAGCAAGCTAGGAGAAGTGGATACTTAGCAGAAGAAGAGGGAAAATCATCATGTTTAATTATTCTGCAGTGCCAGAATTTAACCTCTTTAACTTCTTCATAGCAAGGTGAAGAGCATGGAAATAAATCTGTCCTTGGAGATCAGCAGACAAGTTTATCCTGACTGTAGTCGGTTTCATTTTTTTTTCAGTATTTTCAGTACTTTCCTCTAGAAGCTAATTCATTGAGCCTGGCTAGATTAGGCAGACATCAACGAAGGCTTGAAGTCCTTTTCCTATGTATCCAAAGAAATCTATATTCTGGCTTAAACTTTCTGACATTTTTGCATGTAATATCATCTGCAGTATTTGCCAAGAACTTGAATGCTACCAGGAAACCTTTCATTCTTTCATTTCTAAAATGTTTGTCATGTTAATGCTCATGGACAGAAATCTGAAAGCAAAATTTCCCAGGGACTTGAATTTCACAGGACAAAATTGAACAAAATACTGGGAATATTGCTAGTTTCTCAAGTATCCAATAGTCCCTTCCTTCTCCAAGACCTGGAATGTTGTATTTGACTAGGGAAAGGGGACCTTGTTTTTGTTACATGCAAGTAAAATAATCTCTTGGCGTGTTATGTAACTGCTTTTAATTGGAAGATGGGGATTTTGCCATGGAGATGATAAGGCACTTTGTATCTAATGTGCAATTTTTTGTTGTTGTTGTTTTGTTTAGTGGGAGACTTTGATAAGATCTGGCGTGAGCACTGTGAGGATGAGGAAACTCTGTGTGAATATGCTGTGGCAATGAAAAACCTTGCAGATAATCACTGGGCAAAAACTTGTGAAGGGGAAGGCCGAATTGAATGGTGTTGCAGGTAAATCTTAATGTATTTGAAAGAAGCAATTGCACACTTCTACTCACAGTTCTTTATAATGCAAAGCTTAAGCATGTTTTGCTTTTTTTGCCTTTTTTAAGATTTGTTCTATAACATGTTAATGATTTATTGCTTCCTAAAACAAGTACCTTCTTACTGTTCTAACTTACTAAGAAAATATAGCTTATGAAGTGTTTTGTTATAAAGATGGCCCTTTTTTAAAGTATCTTCAACAAACAACTTTTTTCCTTGAGTACTGAAGCTGTTTGCAAGTAAACGTATGAAATAATTTTAAACATATGAAAGAATTTTCTATACATTTGTCTGAACCTAAATGGAACAAATACAGTAAGTGTAGCTCAAGTTTAATTTCCAGGGCTTTGGTTTGATTTGTGCATATAATAGTGTTTGATCTCTAAATGCACATCTCTGCTGCTTAATTTTCAAGTCTTAATCTTGACTTTAACTTACTTAAACTTATTTTAAATGGATTTTAAATTTTAAAATTCCTGTGTCATAAACATCTAATAGTAAAGCCATGAAGTGAGTTCAGCTGAACTGAGGAGGAAAATAAACTCCTAAAAGAGGAGAAATATTGGTGACTCAGGATTCCTGTGTGCAGTTGGCATCCAGGGCATACTGTGGAATCTGTACAGCAGAGTAAAACAAAATACTGTTGAAATCTAACCGGGAAGAGGATTTATTCAATGGTCCGTCCTTTGGGAATGACTTTAGACAGGTGACAAGTAACATCGTGTGCCAGTCTGTAGGTCCTGCAGGTGAGTGTTGCAGTGTGATGAGCAAAACACAGCAAAGAAAAGCTGGCGTGGTATCACTAAATTTAAGTTCATTACATGGGTCCTTTGAGCCCATAAAACAACAAAAAAAGGTGGGGAGAACAACTGGAAAAGTTGATCTAGAGTATGTTTTGGTGCCGACTTGAGCTGTTCTGTGGCTTCTGGAAATGGAGCAAGTAGTAACAAGCTGGTTTCCTTTTTCCCTATGACAGGTTCTTAAATATTCGTAAATCATTCCTTTATGTATCAATCTTTTATGCTTTAGCTTAAACCCCCCTCCCAATAAAGTTCAGTGTTTCTCTACAGATCCTTTTCCAGACATGTGTTCCATATCCTTATCCCCGTTACAAGGGGGATGGATCAGTTGGAAAGAGCTATGTTCAGAAATGGACACACCATTTCCCTGGCCTTGTCAGGGATAAATAAAATGAAGAAATATTACTGAGGTTGTAGTAAACTCTTGTTATGCTGCTGACCTTGTTTGGTGGGTTTTCTGTGTTTTGGTTGTTTGGGGTTTTTTTGTATTGTGCAGGCATTGATTTATGCTCACTTGTGATCCCCAACTGCCTATTTCTTTTTTACAGGCTTCTTCAGTTGCTAATTGTTTTCTTGTATTTGTGCTATTCATTACCTGTATGGAAATGCTGATATTTGTCCTTCTTTTTACTAAATTACATGCTCTTGAATCATATTGAATTCTAATACAACGATTTCTTGCAGTATCCCTGCCCCAGCTTGGCTTAGTTTGCAGATCAGTTAAGAGGAGTACTGACTGTTCCCAGTGTTCAGGTTATCTGTAAAAATACTAATTGTACTGGACCCAGAACAGGCTCCCATAGAACATTGCTCGATATTTTCTTACAATTTGATTGTCAAATAAAATATGAAGCTTTTTTCAACAGAGCTGTGTGCACTTACTTTGAAGTAACTTCAGCTAAACAGTATTCCCTTAGCTTGAGGCAAGCTTTGTTACCCTGTAGGACAGGATAATGTTCCTTGTGGACAGTTGATGGCCTGTGTATTGAACTTGTTTGGCTCTGTGTCTTGCTTGTTTTCTGTTTGTAGTTCCTACAAGACTTACAAAATAAACATTTAAATAAGTGTCCAGCTTGGGCCTTGCAGCATGAACTCATATTAAGAAGAGAATCCACCCAGTGAGAGACTCTAATGTTCTGTCTCAGTCTAAAGTTTCAATTAAAACAGGTTAGGAGTTTTACATCAGTAGAAAAAGAGGGGTACTTTTCACTTTTGTGCGTCTCGGATTAAACCGAGGCCTGGATGGCTAGATACCAGAACATATCAGATTGACTTTGTGTTCTGCTATTTTTTGTTCCTTCTCAAAGGGCCAGGAGGTGTGCCAGACAGATGGCAGGTCTCATTGCTGCTGCTAGTCCTTGTGTCTGGGTGCATAATTGCATGCAGGAGAACTTGACTTGCATGAGACTTCACTGAAAGCTTTTGCTCAATGCTTTAACTGTGTCACCATGACAGCAGGAAGGTAGCTGATGTATTAGATGAAGTTTAATTTGGAAGTGGAATGCTGAAAATACTTTGGAACCATGGGTGCATCCCTGCTGAAGAAAGGATAGTCTAGGCTTTTTTGTTTGTGTGTTTTGGGTTTTTTTTAAGAAATATTTTTTTCAAGATCTGAAACCAGGAAGTGTTTTTCTCCCCTAGTTAAAAACAAGTTGTGTGTTGGTTTTGGTTGGTTTTTTTTTAATCTTTCCTTCATTTTTCTTGTATTCTTTTGTAAACTTGATAAAGTAAATCAGAGGATGCAGAATAACCACTAGAGAAGCCATGTATATCTCTCAGGATATTTTATCTCAGGATAAAATTTTCTTGCAGGGTTGAAAAGCCTTTCTAGCTATTAGGTTGAAGCCCCTGGAAAAATGCTTATTCTGACATTAATTCTTAAACCAGATGACATAAAACTTACTATTATTTTACTACTTCATTATTTGTTGATTTAAACAAGTACATATCCAGACTTTAGAAGCTGTAAAAGATGGAAAGCAGTACATGATAGACTGTGCTGATGACCATATGCTGCATTGTATAGGGCTAGTTTCATTTATTGTTTCAGTGCAACATTATACAACTGTTAGCTTGAGGGGGGGTGGGCAGGGAGGGGAAGAGGGATTAAAACTTTGTCCCTTCTAGATGCAGGTTAATGGTCCCCTGAGTGATGTTGTAAAAAAGCCTGCAACACTCAGATGTCCTTCCCTTACATTCTTTTTGTACCTTTAGAAAACTGAATACAGTAGCAAATGGTATTTGGAAACTAACATTTCTGTCTCTCTTTCTTTTCATTTATATTACAACACAAAACTTAAACCAAAATGGGGTAAGATGATGTTTACCCTGTCCTAACTCTTGATTTTTGCTGGCATATGTAGGCTGGTGAACCTTTGTATGGACAATGAATGCCAGCCTGTTCTGGTTCTAGTTAAAACAAAATAAGCTAGACCAGCAGGTTTGCTTCTTTCTGTTGCTTTTGCATCAGTGTTAAGACTTGTGTTGACTTGGCAATTTTTTTTAAACAACAAAACCCAAAATCTGCACTTCTAACTAAAAAAGGCTGTCATGACAAAGCACTATTTAGACTTGCACCTTTTTAAAAAGTCTTTTGACTTTCATGAGCAAACTGAAGAAATAAGGGCTTGGTGAAGTTACTGTCAGGTGAGTGCAGAACTGTTTGAAGAAATTTGCAGAGAATAGATGTTAGAAGCTTATGTTAAAAATGTGATTTACTGAGGATGACTCTGTCACTGCACCCATTTCTAATCAATATTTTCATTAGCAATCTGCTAGAATAAAGTATATTTATTAAATTTGCAAATGAGATCAAACAGAAGAGAATTGTCACTCTCAGAGCAGGATTAAAATTAACAGTGTTGTTAACTACACCAAATATTATCAACTATACAAATACAGGCCAGGGAGTAATTCGTTGTCAGTCTTCTAGAAAAGCATTTGGATTCTGTAGCAGGCCACAAGCTGAATATGAAACAGTCATGGGGTGCTTTTGCAATAAAGGCAAATAACATACTGGAGTGTGTTAATTAGATTGTCCACAAGATACATAAAGTACTCCTCTGGCTTTGTTTAGCATTGCTCTTAGCGAAAACATCATCTTGGCCACTGCGCTTAAAAAATAACAAGCAGCAGCTCAAGTCCAAGAAGTAGCAGGCCACAAGCTGAATATGAAACAGTCATGGGGTGCTTTTGCAATAAAGGCAAATAACATACTGGAGTGTGTTAATTAGATTGTCCACAAGATACATAAAGTACTCCTCTGGCTTTGTTTAGCATTGCTCTTAGCGAAAACATCATCTTGGCCACTGCGCTTAAAAAATAACAAGCAGCAGCTCAAGTCCAAGAAAGTCAAAGAAATTATCAAAAATCTTCTGTTTTTTTCCCCCACAAAAGCCTTGTGGTTTTTTCTAGAAACTGCCTGAAACTGTCTAGTCAAAAAAAAAAAAGAAGGCTAAGAGATCTCTTACAGGATCTTTGAGAATAACAGGTCTCTGCTAGAACTTGAAAGCTGATCCTGTTTGGGTCTGGAAGGTTGAATGAATGAATGTTTGAAATCCTTTCAACACTGTTACACAGCTTTTCTTGATGAATGCAGTTAGTCAAGCAATTCACTTTCAGGAGAATGGAATTAAGAGGGAGGTGGCATAAACAGGAGGAGGGAAGTGATTTAAAATAGAAAACAAGACTTGATGTTCATTGTTCGTGTTTGTATGACAGTCTTCATTTTGGTCTTAAATAATACTTTGTTCTGACAAAACTATATCTGTTTGTTGAACACTAGAGCTAATTAGAGCAGTGATCATATGATAACTGTTGGCTATTTTCAAGTTCTTGGAATCCTCTGGTAATGAATATTACTTCCAGAAGCTGGCTTAGGGTGGAGGGGTGAATACACCATGAGAGAAACATCTGATTACAAACCCAATTGTGTTTCTCAAAAGGAAAATGTCTCAAAACCCTAGAACTGAGATCAAGTATGAAAAATAAAATGGAAAAATGTATTGTATATAAGTTTCTCAACTTGAAGTTTAACAGAATGTAATTGTGATAATAAAAAGCTATGATAATTTCGATTGAGAAGCCTAGTGGATTTCCTTAACCTAAAGCTGGGTGCTCATGACAATAGCAAAATATTTTCCAGTCCAGAGGAAACTTTTCTGCTCTTCTAGGTATTGTTAATGTATACAAGGAAATAGAGAATTCTCCCTCCCTTGATTTTCTTTGGAGGTTGGAGATGGGTTGGTTAATCCTGTAGAGGAGTTTACTTTTTTTTTTTTGTCAGGCCAGCAGTTCTGTCAGTTGACATTAATAAACTTATTCCTCAATGTGTGGGAGGAAGGGAGAAATGTTTTACAGGCAGAAACCATGATGAGAAGACCAGACTTTCCTTCAGCTCTGAAGGGAAGTATGTTATTTCTCTGTACCCTCGCTGAACTTCCATCTTCAATATTAAGTTTAGGTTTGTAAATACTCTAAGGAACATAGGTCAGGCTCACCTTTTCCTCATAAAGCAGAAGGAAAGAGATGGACCGTGTCGGTTCTTAACGTGTAAAACTGGCCGCTTGAAATCCTTGAGCATTGATAGGGGCTACCAGAAACTGCTTTTTAGCATGATAAATGCTGACCACATCAGCTTTAATTTAGTTGTTTACTATTACTTGATGAGGAGAACTACCTACTGATTCTTTCATAGGTTTTAAATTCCATAAGGTGTTTCTTTGGCAGTTCTCCCCTCCTCTTTTTTTTTTTAATTATATAAGCTATTGAAACCTTTGGGTTTGGTCACTGTATTAGAAAACAAAACTTTTCTGGAGTGTATTAACAAATGACTATATATTTATATTGCCTTTTACTGAAACTTGCTATACATGTCCAGCCTAAATGGGGGAACAGGGGGCTCAACTTGAACAGGTTGTTTACCGTTTGAGATCTGAAGTATGGAAAACAAGTTTCACTGAGGAAATACCTGTATTTATTTATTTAAAGCAAAGACATGAACTGGACACTACACCTGTCTCTCTGCCGGCAAACTTAAACAGTTTAGACTCAAAATGTTTATTTCGCTGTTTGTGTAAACTGTAGCAAGTGTTAGCTCAGGTAGCATTTACATTGCACAATTCTTCACAAACAAGTATGTTAATTGTAGAGCTATTATTGTATCATCAAAGTCTGAAAGCTTAAATGTCAGTTCAAAATGGAGCCATGTCAGATCTCAGAATTATAAAATAGATTCCTTAATTTTACTTCTCTCTGTAGATAATTAAGGGATGTTCTTTTCATTACTTGAGACAATTGTTAAATGTAGTCTTTTATAGCTGCGTACTCAAAACCACAGTGTGATCAATGACGGCTTTTAATGGCCGTGAACTTGAACGTGTGGCTGCATCAGCAAGTTACCATGGGGTAAACTGAGTGCATTATCTCTGGTTAACTACTGTGCAGCGACTGCCCACGTACTCACTGTACCCCACAGTAGGTGTGGGGAGTACATAGACAGCTCCTCTGAGGCCGCGGGAGCCAAAAGGGCAACGTGTAGTAATCCTGCCAGAATTATTGTAACTTCAGAAGGGCATAAAATGGAGGTAACCCTCAGAGGTTATGGAGTGCAGTGTTTCCTGGGGGTTTGTGTTTGGATGGGTTCATTTGGGTTTGGTTTGGGTTTTGTTTGTTTTTTGGGGGGTTGGGGTTTTTTTGGTGGTGTTTTTTGGGGTTGTTTTTTTTTTTGCTTTCTTGTTGTACTGCACAGGTATACTGACTGGGATCTGAATGTGAAGAATTTAACCCAGTCTTGGGCCTTCCTGTGGCTCTGGCCCCTCCACCCACCAGCAAAAACACAGGAGTAGAAGATGCTTCTCCTCATGGTTTACTTCGGTAGTCTTATGTGCAGACAAGGAAGGTCATTCGAGAAGAAAAGAGAATTATGAGAACTCAGTTGACATGATAGACAGGGGTAGAAGGATGGAAAAGATACTGATTTGTACCAGTGCCAAGAATGAGGAAGAAATGGCTGCTCAGTGACAAGGGGAGCTTATACTGCACTTTACAAGTAGGGGTTCTCCTGTGCAACAGCTCATTAAGCGTTAGGCTGGGCAACATACCAGCTTCTAGTGAGTTAAAAGGTTGATAACATCAATAGTTCAGGAGAAAAAAAATAATACATTCTCCCAAGGTTGTGAATTTTTTTATGTGTTCTGACTTACATGTCAATGTGAATGGGCAGCGCAACACTATTTAAACTGCTGTTGATTCTGGATGTCTTAAGAGAGATAATGAGGAAAAACCTTACAATAAAAATAAAGAGACTGCAAGATGCTAACAGAGTAGTAAGGTAGCTGATAAACGGTGAGGAAAATATTTTTTTCTGAGTTTCACTTCTTTGACTGACACAGAATTAAATAGTTCTAAATTGATCATATGCTTATAAGCAAATGATACGCTGTAGTGTAAAATACACTTTTATTAGCATACTGACAATAATTCAAGTGTTTTTCTATGGTTCTTTGTTTACTGATGTTTTTAATCTCTTGCCTGCTAAGTTAAATGACTGGCTGCTTCTACTTTGTTAATTTTAGAGTTGTCTTTCCATATGTGCAAGCTGTAATGGGTGGAGTTGGTATGGTTTCACAGCGCATATATCTGGGAGTATTGCAGCCTGGACTGCTGTTCATGCTTCTGCATGTGATCTTGCTCCATACTGTTAATATGTGGATTTTATTTATTCCACTTAGCTTCTCTTTGGTCTGAAAATAGCTTTGGTTACTGAGGAATTGTAATTATAAACTTGTTGATTGTAAATATAAAGTTTACTGAGTTTCTTTATTATGTAGCTGTGTTTTCTGCTCTAAGGTTACTGTCTGCATTTTAGACTTTTTATATTTAGTGCAAGAACGCCTACGGCCTATTTGAGCAAGTAAAACTTGCTTGTGCTTTGAGTTTGTTAGACACAGGTCAGTTTTGATCTTGAGGTCCTATAAGCATGTCAGCACAGAAATGTGTCCAGGATAACTTATTTTTTCCCCCCTCATGGCAAGAATTAGTAACTTGGACATAATGTGCTACTGTAATTATACCTTTATTGATGCAAGGTGGTCATTTCCTACCATCTTGAAGTAAAGCAACTTTTACCTGTATCTGTTTGATTGTGTATGTTTCCTCAGAAACTCAACTCCAACCAATTACTTTTCTTTTTTCTCTTTCACGTCTTATGTGGTGGAGAGGCTGGATATATTTGTTGCCTATAATATCACCAACCCTCAGATAAAGCCTATGTGTTCCAAGTTGTTGTCTCTATTTGTGATTTAAATGCAGCATTATACCAGCATGTCCTTTCCTGAATCTGTGATGTGAAATACTATGTTATCTTGATCCTGCTTTGTATAAGGTGTTATTAAACCACTCAATTTATGTTTTCTGAAATCTTTCCTTCAAACCTCTGCACCTTTGTTCAAGGAAAATTGAGTGAATTTCAAGAAAGCACTATAAAAATGGGTTGTTATGAAAATATCATTCAAACAAGTACTATTTCTGTTAAACTTTCCATGCAAATACTTGGCTGGCACATCTAATTAAAAATACTGCTTTGTTCAGGGTGAGTCAGGCTTTTTAATTTCACAGCAACAAATTGTTTCCAATTCTAGTTCTATTTAGTGGACAAAATTCAGCTCTTCTTGAACATAATGCTTGCTTTGCATACACTAATGCTGACTACTGGTTGAAGTATGCAGGTGCAATTTAACTTTTTTGATAACATTCTTTCCTTTAAACTGGTTAATATTTCTGTTCAAGTATGACCAGATTATTTTGTTCTGGTTCCTATTAGCAAATTAAGTATGGGGAAAAAATTGAAAGCTAAAATCAGTCTTCCACAATAATACAGCTACTGCAGATATCTGTTACTTAAAACCAAAAAACATCCCCGGCAAACTCAATTAAAATTAAAAACTGGTGTATGTAAGTTAGCCCATAAGCTTGGATTATGTTTCTTTTCCCCAACATTACATGCCTTGCAAGACGCAGCTGTTTCAAAAGCATCTGCGTTTATGGGTAGCTAGGTAATAACTCTTTGCACCTTGGTGGAGAACTGTGGTGCTCAGGTGACAGCTGAAGTCTACACTCTGGTGATGTTCTGACAAGGCTTCTGCTATCTTGTTCTAAAAGTCTATCCAGATAAAACTATTTTGAGTCTGTTTACTTAACTGTGACTTACGGCCTAATTTCTGGAAATAAAACACCAATCAACTTCAAGTGTGTCTTTGGGTGTATTGCATCTTTCCTAAAGCAGATTTACCAAACCTGCAGTAAAACCCAGATTTGTTTAAAAGCTGACATCACTTGTATCTCTTAAACCATGGTCTTGTGTCTTATCTGTAGTAATGACCAAAAAAAAGCACCCTGTTTTTCTGGGGATTTTTTCATTTTGTCTTTTCAGTGTATGCCGAGAATATTTTCAGAACGGTGGAAAAAGAAAAGCACTTGAGAAAGATGAAAAAAGAGCACTTCTTGATTCTAAGACCACTCCAGCTTTAAATGTTCCCCAGGCACCCAAGATTGAAGATCCCTTGCCAACCTTTGGCTTGACAAATCATGAAGCTATAACAGAAGAGTAAGTTTTACTTGTTTTCCAGACTTTTTCCCGCCCTCCCTCTGTGTAGTAAGACTTACCTGGATGTTTTTTTCCCCATAACATATTAAATCAGTCTGATGTATTTTTTATAGTTAAGAAAGGGCGTTTTCATATGATTGTATACCTGTTTCAAGAAACATTTGTTGTATATTTTGGTGGATGCCATAGAAAAATTGCTTGAGAATGCTCTTACGCTTAAATGAAGATGACTAGTTGCCAGTTTCACTTTTGTATGTCATTGGTGTGCAATGCAATTTATATTAAACCTTGAGGTGAAATAAGGGAGATGTTAATTAAGTTAGAGTCTAATGGCTGTTCAGCATTGTTGAAAAGTCAATTGCTTATGTAAGTACTAAGTGTCAAATGTAAATATCAGAGTACTTAAAACTTTCTCTTCATAAATAATTGCAGAGAAACTCTTGATTCCAATTATACACTTCAAAAGTAATTTTGAATTATAACCCTTAATTTCACATGTGCTAGCATTCTGATGACTGGCTCTGCAGAAGTTGTAGTATCCTTGAGGTATTTTCCTAACAACAGTTTTAATTTTGGTTTTGACCTTCGCTCAAGTAAGAATTTTATTTTTGGCATTGAGGAGTAGCTTTATTATTTTAGTTACAGTCCCACCCATCTTTTTTTTCTTGAATAACATGGGTCATGTTTGTGGCTATTGCATATATGATGGAAAGAATTTAATATTTTGCAAGTATAATGAAATAAAGAATGCATAAGCATATTATCATTAAATGTTACACTTATGACTTGCTTCATATTCTTTATAGACCAGTTCTTACAACTATCTGCAGTAGTGTTTGTTCTGTGAAGAGATTTTTCTCATTATTGTAACGTGTTCTGTGATTAGCGCTTACTTTAAGTTAGATGTAGTATTAGTTAGGAAAGGAATGAGCATACTACTAATGTTACTAGCAGATATCTGTCCTTATAAGCTGGTATCTTTTTTGGTTTCTCGTGTTTGTAAAGTAACTTGCAAAAGGCATAAAGATCCCAAATGCCTGTGTAGTTGAATAGTTACATGCAACATGAAAACATTTTCCCTGTTGTTCTCCTGTTGTGACAAGACAAAACAGATGCTTACAAATTTAAGGTGGTGGCTTCTTATAAGCTGACTTCCCCCACAGCCTCTTCTTTTTAGTGTTCGTTTTGCTAAGGTAGCCTGAAACTGAATACCTGTTTTTAATGAGAACTGCCAGGCACTTTTGCACAAAGGGCTGATGAGATACTGATACCTTATAACATCTCAATAATGCTGGCATTTGTTAACACATGATTTTGGTGTTACTCTAAATAGCAGTATGTTGGTACTTGTTTAAATCAATAGGTTTGATGATCATACACTACTTCCAAGTTGATTTGTCTTCCAGTGGGAGGCCTTGTCATGACAAAGCATTAGTACTCCCTTTGCGTGTGCTCTGTCTTAGTACTTTGTACAGTTTATAACGGCTGTTGCGGAGCTAACTTCACATGAGTTTCTTATTTCACATGAGTTTCTTATTGCTGCCAGTAGTCTGTAGCCTTACTTTTTGTTCTGACTAGTGTGTATAGAAAGTAGTTAATACAGAATTTTTTATTAAAGAATTTTAAAAGTATTTGCTAACATAGCGAGCGATGATGATTTTTATCTTCATTGTCAAAACTTTAAAAATACATACATCCACATACCTAGCAAAGGCAAGATTCCTATTATTTACCTGAGTAAGCAACAAATGATAGTAAGGTTTTTATTAGCCGTACAGACCTTAAAGCAACAAGGCATAGCTGTTCTGTTACTGCCCAGAGAAATGAAAATTGAATTTCTTCCTCTGTGCTGTATAAAAGAAATTACAGAGTTAATCAGAATGAAAATGGAGTGTATATTACGCAAAGCATGCTTTCCTCCTGAAATGCTTTTCTGCCACGTCTACACTGATCAATTAGTGAAGTCTGAATCTTGGTGAGGTCTTGGTACAAAGGGTATGGGGGAACCTCCCCCTCCCACACACATTTGTTTAAATACTGTCACTCCATTCTGGACATGTAACGCTACAAATAAGAGTTGGGGGGTTGTCTGTAAGTATGGCTAAGGCTGTGACTTTTTGTTTTACTCTGGTAAGCGTAAAGACAATAATTTTGTTCTTTCCATATATAACCCTCTCTCAAGTAGTATTACAAAACAGGTTGCTTATGTAGGAGCTCTTTCTGAGCTCACCTTTACTGCCAAGCCATTGTAGAGAGACTGTACTTTGGTAAGGAGCAAAGCTAGCTCAGGAATAAAAAGCTCCAAAGATAGTAAAAAAGATGCTGGGAGATGTAGAGAGAAATAGGAAGCACTCAGCCAGCTCTTGAAGGTGATGGTAGGAAACATCATAGGAACCAGAAGGCCAAAGTTTACTGCAACTCAAAGTCACTCAGCTACTTTGATGAACCCATTTCCAGTTGCTCATGTTGCTTACCTCTTTGCCATATTAAAATCGGCGAGTCTTACAGAAATAACTAATGTGAACAGTCCTTTTTTACTTTCATCTGTATGAAAAGTAATGTATTGTCCACAGTACGTACTTCCATCCCAGAATGAGTCTCTTAACATTACAACTGCACCTGTTGTGAAGCTAGACATCAAAGTGGCTCCATCTTGCAAGATAAAAGCAGCTGTTACCTGCTATTTAACAGCTCCTCCCTTCAATAAATCAGTCCCCCCTTTGTTCTGTTTTTGAGTTGTTTTCTCTTCTTTTTCTGTCAAATTAAGCAGTCTTGCTTTTTATCCTTAATGGTAAAAATCATAACCTTTTTCATATGGATTCTTCTCACGTGTTGGTTTGAATGTCTCTTAGGGTTCAACCTATCGTTCCTTCTTTGATATAGCTCAGCAAACTAGATCTTCCTAGTAGATATCTTTATGTGTAGATGTTATCGAAGATTTGAGGCATACCAGTGTTGCCACTCAGAACCAGATGTATAGCTTTGTTCTGCTCTTCTGACAACAGCCTAAGGCTTCTGAGTTTTTCCCCTCCCATCCTTGATAAATAATGGAGTAATTGAAAATTGTAAACTAGGAGATCAGCACTTGACGTGAATAATTTCAGAGATAAAGTTACTTTCCTTATGGTCATATAACTGTGCTCTATTTCTATCTGCTTCCAAGAGAAAATGTCATTTATCGGTACAACATCTAGTTGAATAATAGGTGTATTTTTAAGGGGGCTAATAATCAAGAGCTGCAGTCCATTTAATAAAGTTCTTGAAATAAAGAAGTGTGGGATGCACTCATTTTGCAGGTTATGTACACTTCTTTACCAGTTCCTGATCTTTAATTTTGGGTTTCCACCTGTATACCAGTGCATTGGAGAGCTGTGGCTTCAAGATGTGCTTGGAGATTACCTGCAGTGGCAAAGTACCTTTGCTTTTAGTGTTGCCTTGGCTGCAAATCATTAGGAAACGGGGCTGAAGGGTGTTTATTAATGAATTCTGCAAGACTACAGTTCTAACGAATTCGTAGGCCCACTGGATCAGTGATTGTCGCAGTTACGTTCTCACTGAGGAATCTGACTTAAGAGTTAGAGTGCTGAAAAAGTAGGCATCTGAACCAGTGGTCTTCAGACCATCTGAATCTGTGGTCTGTGCTCTCTGTATACATTCAGTGACCAAATCTAAGTGCTTCTAAAGAGCCTCAGAATTATTTCAAGCACCTAACTAGGAACTGCCCCTACTGATAACTGGCAGCCTGAGAATCACTACTAAGCAATTCATTGCTCCTGTGTTCTGAGAGGCAGCAAAACCTGACAAGCATCAGGAAGTCAAGACACAAGTGAGCATCTGAATTCCTGCTACTATTAAGGTTTCGAAGTACATTTGCATTGAACTTAGACTACAAGGTTCCTTGGATGAGACACACCTGTCAGAGTGGATTTGCCCTGTATCAAATGCCTTAGATCTGTTGTCCTGTAGCGTAGAAGAGTGTTTCTGGCTTCTGCTCAGCTTAGAATCTGGAGTTGTAGCTCTCCAGAAGTGTGCCCTAATGCTGTAGTAATCTGAAGTTGTGTTCCCCTTCACCCAGTCAAAAATACTGCTGCAGCCAAGAATGCAGGTTTTGTAAGAGAGGAAGACAGAAGACATCACAGTGATTTTTCACTTTACTGTAGGTGAAGTGGGCTCTCCTAGAAATTGGAGGATTCAGGGTTGTGCTGCTTAATTTTAATCTGTACAAGTATCTGATCAAACACTTTAAATTGAAAATGTTAAGGTCTCTAGAGGCTGTCACTCTTCTTTATGGGAAGTTTTTTCTGCACTATAAAGTCATGTTCCTTCTTGTTGCGTTTCTTGTGGTTGGTCCCATGTGTCTTCTATTCTTTTGCTGTTATCATTGGAGTCTTACATAGAACGCAGGCATATATATAGACATACGTTAGGGTCTCCATTTGCTAGACAAGGATACGTGCTGGTCTGAGAAATCTCATACTAGCCTTACATGGAAAAAGACACTACTTGACTTCAGCCCATGTTTGTGATTTATGGCCACGAGGATCTGAATGGTCTCTCTGCAGTAATTACTGTTGTACAGATTACATTGTGATTGGCATCCAAGCTGGGAAAATACTGTTGCTGTCATCTTCCTTCTGAAATCTCAGTCGGTACTGACTGACTTACAGAGCAGCCTGGTAATGTATGAGGTTTTAACATAAGATAATTGTTGCACTATTTGCCTTGGTGGTGCTGGTATTTTGACAGAAGTACCCCTAGCTATCTCTATTCCATGTAGAAGCAAAATCCTTAAAGTTGGCAGCATTATTCTGCCGAATGCAACAAGAAGTCTTCTCTTGTTTCTCCAGCATTCTCTCTGTGGTAGATCAGTGGGAGTTTGTGAGGAGCACACAAAGCCCAGATCTCTTTATTGCTGTTTAAAGTTTTGGTGTTGGTTTTGGGGTTTTGTTTGTTTTGTGTTTTTTTTCCCCTGCAGTATTCCTTACTGCTTTGGTTTTGCTATGAGTACAGCCATGGTTTGTGGGACTCTGTGGGCCCTGCAGATCTGTTTCTGAAAGTTGCAGTTACCTGTCTCTCTGGGGCTGAATCTTTCCCAGAAACATGACAAATGATGTTTTGGAGACACCAGTTGGAATTGGCTACAGAAACTTGAAGAAAAAAAAGCAACATTTGCTTGATGGAAAGTTACCATTCTTCTCCCTGTGAATTCCCTGTGAAAGCTGCGAGTTCGCCTTTGTTTGCCTCTATTAATGGATTTTGGGTATTCCAAGATCTTACAAATCACGATGGGAATTTTTAGATGCAGCCCTGTAAATGTTCCAATAGAAAGAGTTCAAACTGTTGAGTGCTAATGGTGCTGTATATTTTCCTTTTTTCTTTTTTTTGGATATGTCAATGCACTCATCAAGTTGTGCTTTAATGAATAGACAGATGTAGTCTGTACTAGTGGACTTGAACAGAATTGTTTAACTCCAGCATTTACAGATCTGTTGCAGTTGCAAAGGAAGATAGCAGGGACCTCCACATTCAGAGTGCAAGGACAATAGAAAATGAAAGAACTATCTCTTTGATTGTAGAATATATTCAACAGCTGATTCCTTTATATTAGTGGTAACTGAGTGCAACGTTCAGATTCTGACTTTTTAAGAGGTCCAGCATATCAGGTTAGTCAAACTAAGTGCCAAGATGAGGCAAAACTTTTAAACAATGATGAGATAGCTGACCACCAATACTTCTGTATGGGTGCACTGATCTTATCTGATGCTACATGATATATATACTGGTAACTGCCTTAGGCATGAAGAAAATGCCTATGGTTGCAAACTTGAAGACCGCAAATGTTCCCCTAGGCACTGGTCACAGGGACTATCCTTTGGAAGATAAGAGTGCTTTCAGAGGCAAGGCAGCAGTCACTATCCTTAAAAGATGCCAGGCATCTGTTTTCTTTTTTTAAACTATGTATTTAACTTAAAGAAAAGAGCACTGATGTCTTTACCTTCATAAAGGCATTTCAGGTTGGTTTTGCAGTTGGTCACAGATGATGTCAGAGCTTCCCAAGAAAAGGCAGATCTCATCTGCCAGCCTCTAGCGTATCTTCTGCTGTGCTGTAACGGGAACTTCAACCAGACAGTACAAGAATGTCCTCTCTTCGTTTCTTCAGTCTGCTATTTTCTTTCTAAACTCCCACTCTTCCAGATTTGTTTTACCCCAGGAAATTTTGGAATCTGTTTGAAAAGATGATGGGCCAGTTATTCAGTGTGGTGTGTTTTGTTTTCATTTTTCATGACATTTTGGAAGGGTATATATGCATCTCTCCAGCATTCTGGAACTAAAGTATCGGTGTCCTCAGCAGTCTGTCAACCTCTTTCTGTCAGTCCAAGCAGTAAGTCATGATTTCTCAAATTAATCTCCTCCCTTTCTTTCCTAATCATTCACCTTCTGTTGTTTGGTAGCATAGCTAAGTATTTAGCATTACAGCCATTGGCTGCCTTATCTATAATTTAGCCTTGAATAGTAGGGTCATCACACAGTGGCAGATAAGGAGATGGATTTTTGGCTTACTAAAATGTTCTTCAGAATTCTTATGGGATAAATCTTCATTTTTGAGTACTTCAGAAGTACGCTGATTAGGACTCTCTTTCTTGAGCCTATTAAACCAAAAAGACTATTTTTGACTATTTCTCATTAAAAAGCTTTTGGATACTCCAAAAGAAAACTGATTGCATAGCATGGAATAGACTTTTTTTTTTTTCCTAGTAGTTTTGAGGATATACTGCAATACTATTATATGTTTAGAACAACTTTCCTGCAACTTTGCATGGGCTGTTCTAATTCTTTCACAGCATCTATTGAAAACAGAATTGGAGTGAACTTCCAGTATTTTAAAAAAACATTACCTAACATAAAGCAAATAAAATATTTTAAAATTTTCGCAGGGAATAAGTAAATGCTTTTATTTTTAGATACTCTTTGTTTGCCATGTAAAACCATTATGTGTTCTCTTGTCTTTATTAAACCAATTATGGTACTTGACTTCAGATACCCTTTAAAATGGTACTGACAAGTAGGTCATAGAGTGTTGCCAGTTTCTCTTTTAAAACTCCTGAAATTTTAGCTCTGGTCACTTGTGTGACTTCAACACCACTAAATATCACAAAACGGTAAGTGGGAAACACAAAGCAATAGAGAAAGCTTGTCTAGTGGGTACACAAGTTGCCATTTTAGTTTCTTACTGCAAGTACACAAGTTAGTAGTATTACAGCTGCACTGAACATAAACTGTTCTGCCTGAGGACCATCGGCTTTACTGATGGAGCTTGGTTCTTTAGGTATCTCAGCAATTCAAGTAAGGCATTCGCTTCTGTTAAGTCACTACTGCAGTGTTCTGTGAGAATTTTTTTGCATTAGTTATCTGAAATTGTAATTCAGAATATAGCTTCAAAAATAACACTTGATAAAGCTGAACTGTTGTTGCTTCTTAGATTGCTTCACTCCTTGGGGAAGATCAGATTACTTGATGTTGGTAGCTGCTTTAATCCATTTCTGAAGTTTGAAGAATTTCTGACAGTTGGCATAGACATTGTTCCAGCTGTTGAGGTATGTAATGTTTGCTGAATTTAATATAAATTTCATTCTCGGATGTTTTAGAATGCTTCAAAATGACTATTAAAAAAAAAAGTATGTGTAATACTTAAGCGCATATCCTAAATATCTGTGTTTTAACAGGAACTGTGGTCCTCCTGCTACATTCTTTCCCATGAACAGGCTCTAAACTGTAGTTGTCTTTTGTTTTAAAAATCTAATTGTTTTCAACAATTATGCCTTTATAATGTGGTTGTGAATCTTAACATTGGAAAATTTCAGTAGCCATCTTTTGATGGCAATTCAGATGAGTCGTTGCATCTTAAAAGGCATAAATAAAAATTGAGTATGCTTATGCTTAGGCATAAACCTCTCGGAAGCTGCATTCATTGGCAGAAGGAAATGATCAGTGACTGTACTTGGTGAGTTTTTAGGGGAGTTCTAGTAACCAGAAGTGCACTATAAGGGGGCTTTTCTGGTTATTGCTAGAAATATTATTGAACTTCTGTAATCCTGAGGACAAATGTATTAGCGCTTTTGAGGTAAATCGGTTCAGTTTCTCTAGGTAGTAAGGTTCCAATATGATTACAGAAGAATTAATGCGTTTGTTCTTTAGCTCTTTTGCTCTCGACCCAACTTTTGTCAGTCCTAATAGCATTTATCAGCCAAGCAAAATGACGAAGTGGAATGAAAATTAAAAGATACAGAAAGGAATGTATTTCTGACAGAAAACAGAAAAACCTTTGACCATACACATCTTTACCACTTAGAGTTTAAAATCAGGCTCTGTTAAAATCAGTGGCCTCTGTGCAACTGGAGAGGTGAGAAGTGTACGAGTACAATAATACAGTTAACTTGAAAGTAATGTTCTCATTTGCTGCAGTGTGGTTGACATGCTAAATGCATGGTATTTTGTTGTCACCAGGTTTAGTTCACCAACAACTAATTTATATTTTTGCGTATATGCTTAGAGATGGTGAAAGATATTCTTGAAAAAAATCTGAGTCTGGTTGAATTGCTTTAAAAAGCAATTCAGTGTTAGTTTCATCTAAAACACAAAGAAACTTTGAGTGGACTCCATCTTGGCTAATTTGAAGAATAGGCATCAGTTGCCCAAATATGATTGCTTTCCACCACTTAAGAGGCTGTTAGGACATATGCATAGGGCTGTTGGACATGACACAGGATCTGAAGGAGACACATGCCACTGAAGCAGCAGCTATGGCATCTAAAATGCTAATACACGGCAAGTAAATTTCTAGCAAAGATACATAGATCATGGGTGTCTACCTCTGAGGTTCTATGTTACAATTACAGTCAGTGGAGATGTATTAAAAATAGCCAGTGAAACCTAAATGTCTGGTGTTAGATGGTGAGGTGAACTGTGTGTTGACCTCATGGGCTGTATTGACTGGCTCTCCAGTGACCATAATGGGAGCCTAGGCACCTGAAGTCACATGAGCTGAATCTAACCATTAAGTTTTGGGTATGCATAGTTGATATTTTGCTATCTAGTCTATCCTTCTGTTTTCATAAGAAAATTACTTTTGTTCTCATGAAAATCAATTTAAATGTACAGTGACCAAAAACGTTATTGGAAGAGTCCCAGAATCATTACTTCTATGGATGTAATGGAGGATTGTGAGTAATCCAGGCCAGACAACAGGACAGGGAGTAGTCAGGTAGCTGCAATTTCTGTGTACTAACTAGTTCTTCAGGCTCTCTCCCAGTACAAGGGAATGATAAGATAATAGATTTCTTGTCATCTGACATAGTTAGTACCACAGCTTGATGATGGGAACTCCCCAAAGTGCTACTGTGAGCTTCTCTTACTTCCATTCTCTTGGGTACTTGGTGTGTTCAGGGCACCTTGAAACCTAGCTAGCAAGCGTTCTTGGAGTGACGTGGAGTACAGTTTGTGCACTCAAATGCATCTGCTCGAACAAGCTTAGGCCCACCTCCAAACTAGAATTAATAAGCCCTGATGTATTCAAGATGACTCTACTTTGAGCTGCATCAGCACCATAACCTCCTAAATAAATGTATCTTTAGGCCAGCAGTTGCCTGGGCTGATTTAAGATTTCAGAATAACAGCCAGAGGGTTCTTATGGTAGTTAATGTTGTCTTCTGACCTGAAAAATTGATCTGATAAGTTAGTGGTAGAAGCTGACAAAAGAAGAAGTGGTAAAATCTTCTGATTTAGCAGATCTTTTAGGTAAGACACCAAAATACTTTTTGAAACACATTGAAGCACAGAGGCTTCTGAAGAAGTCAGTTTCTTCAATAATGTTAAAGAGAGGGTTAAATAATTCCTTCTTTAATAAAAATAGTTTGATTCCCTTTCTGCATATAGAAATGCTTTGGATATAGACTTTAAGTTGTTCAGTAAAATACTTAATTTAGGAATAAGAAGGATATGATTATGCAAAACCTAGGAGAGGAGCTGAAATGTCAGTGATATAATAAAAGAATTAATGTCTTCAGAATGTTGAGATTCTCTGTTTCATATGGAGAGATTGTAAACTGTAGAGATACAAATATGAAAATATATTTCCATTAAAAGGTTTTGTGTTTTGAGGCGGGGGGGGCCGCACCAAGAAAAAATTAGTATTCTCTTTAGCTAGGCACTGTTCACTCATTTACCGTATCCTGGTGTAAGGTACACCGAGGGAAACATGCAGGAAAGACATGGACCTGTTGGAGCGGGTCCAGAGGAGAGGCACAAAAATGATCAGAGGGCTGGAGCACCTCTCCTGTGAGGACAGGCTGAGAGAGTTGGGGTTGTTCAGCCTGGAGAAGAGAAGGCTCTGGGAAGACCTTATTGTGGCCTTCCAGTACTTAAAGGGGGCCTACAGGAAAGATGGGGAGAAACGTTTGAGCAAGGCCTGTTATGATAGGACAAGGGGGAATGGTTTTAAACTGAAAGAGGGAAGATAAAAGGAAAAAAAAAATTACAGTGCGGGTGGTGAGACACTGGCACAGGTTGCCCAGAGAGGTGGTAGATACCCCATCCCTGGAAACATTTAAGGTCACGTTGGACGAGGCTCTGAGCAACCTGATCTAGTTGAAGATGTCCCTGCTCATTGCAGGGGGTTGGAGTAGGTGACCTTTAAAGGTC